AAATACAAGCTGTACTGTATATGAGACCGAACTGAACAAATTCAAAGCCCATATGAGACCTGGGATGACGAGAAAAAACATTGGTCAGACTCACCACTGTCCTGGCACCGATCTGCTGCAAGACATTTATTCATACTTCATAGAAAACCCGGGACCCTTCACGCAAGAAGGGTCCGTGTGGAAAAACCATTTCTCGCAGTTTTCAGCGTGGTAAGATGATCTCCCTGAAAACCTCATGGAACCTCTGTGTTGAGCCTCGAGCTGCCTTTGAATTCTTTCTTTTGGCCTGAAGAGAGGAACGTGTGGACCTCGTCCACCGACCAGGACCAGGACTTTTGGGGCTTTCTGTGAGATTCCATTTCTCTGGAGTGAGGAGGACGTAATGTAGCCGAAACAGAGCCGAGTAGAGCAGCCGGTTTTAAAGATGGCGGTTGAGTTGTTTTTCCCAAAGGGTCAGATGTCGCTTCCAGTGACGACACTCGTTGACCAATCAGTGTAAGGCAGTCTCGCGACGTCACGTCATGGTATCGGTACGGCGCGGATGGAACCACAGTCGGGGCAGTACGAAAAAGTAACGCAAACTCGGATACTATTACCAGTGGAAATGCAAAATAACCGTGCCAAAGCGTACCATGCCGAAGCGTACCATACCGTAACGTACCGTTACTGTGGAAAAGGGGTATATGGTGGCCGTCTATGGTTGCGGCGTGGCACAGGCAGTAGGTACAGCGGCTAGATGCATGCAGCGAAAGCAGGAGATGAACATCCTCGCTCCACACACGTGTGGCAACCAATCAGAGAGCAGCAAAGTGGTCATGGGGACATGTGCCGGTCCAAACCAGGAAAAAGAAGTAACATGAAAACAACCAAAACAGGAACTAAACCAAGATTAAACTTGGACTGAGGATGGGGGACAGCGCTTGTGAACACACAGTGTGTTTTCAGCTTGAATTGACATTCTACTGTGACTGTAAACCACTTCCGCCCTGGACGACAGATTGACTGATATTTACGAACGTGCGTCCATGCATCGGCGATCTGAACACAGCTTTTGACCTCTCACTCTCACTCCAACCTGCTTTTCATCTGCCCTATCCTGAGTTTTTTGTATGATTTGAAGTACCATTTTTGTTTGTAAAATAAATATAATTCATATTATACACAAATCTTTTTGTGGACCATTTTTATTTAGAGTGTCAGGGTCCAGTCACCAGACAGAAAGGAACCTCTACAGTAACCTTCCCTTGTAATGAGTTTATCATGAGTTCACTGATGAGTTCATGATATTTCACACATGTCTTCATCACAAGTTAATGCTAATGATTCATGACATGAGTAGAGTAATGAATGCTCTCCATTAATGATGGTCATTGTGAGTCACTGTGAAAAATAACTCATCATGATCAAGATGCAACAAGGTTCCATCATGACTCATCATGATCCATTGATCATCTTCCCACTCCTTTTCGAGCTGACTTTTTGTTAATACAAGAAAACATATTGTATATGGGTTTATTGTTTATTTGTTTTATTGTTTTGTTTTCTATTCAGTTGTTTTGTTGCTGTTCCTTGTTCTTGTCTGACATGGCTCAAAATAAAAAGTATTCATTCATTCATCATGAATTGTTGCTTTCTTTTTTGTTAATTACCATTGTTAGTATATTATCTATTACCATTGTTTGTCTTAATTGTTGTTGCAATGTAAATTTCCTTGTTGCCCGTGGTAACGCCATCATGATATAATGCTTGAAAGTAACAGTGAAGTTGATCATTTAATCACTGAATGGGGATAAAGGGGTGGGATTAAATACGTTTTTTCTTCTTCCCACTCCTTTTCAGGCAGAATTAATTGGCCAAGTTTATACCGTGCATTTATTGTTTATACAATGTTTGTGTATTATGTTTTTTGTTTATCGAGTTTTTGTTTGTTTGTATTTTTGCGTTATATGATTTATATTATTTAACTGCATTCAATTACCTTATTTACTCAACTGCAACCTTAACTCAATCATGAATCTGTTTTCTAAAAGTCTCTGTGCTTTCTCGTTCATTGTTCTCAGTTTAGTACTAGCATTTGTGGCATAGATTCTGTTAGTCATCAGCAACACACCCAGGGCTCTGAATACGTTGGGAACTCCAGCAGTGAGAGTCTGAAACCACAGAAAGAATGGGTCTTTGAAGAGGGCCTTCCCACTGTCTCCCCTTGACCAGAACTCCTCCTGTTTAGCTTCACTTTGCATGAGTCTATTTATGCAAAGTAAATAGACTTATATCTCACAGAAAAAACAAACAAAATGAAAATGTTGGATCCCTCTTTTTGACATTAAAATCCATACCATACACTGATTGTTTGAAAGGATGATTCTTTTGTATGTGCATGTCTCCTGAGTTGTGCCCCTCCCCTCATAGATCAAGAAGACATCTTGTATATTTAAACGTGTGTGGCATACTCACCCTTTGCCTGGGTGCCACAAATGTAGTTTGTTGCTTTGTCAGGCCGAGTCCTTTAACTATCAGCCACTAGAGCACTTTAAAACTTGCTAAAAACTGTTTGCACTGGCCTTTAAGTCAGCCTATACCTGCACTATTGTTCCACTAAAGCCTTTTCTAATGTTATTGTTTGATTACAGTCTGCGTATTGTATGTTCAGCACACCAGTTTAAATGCACTTAACAAATGAATGTGACTCAGTTTTGTAAATGGAAGCAATATCTAATGTAACAAAAGATTGCAGTGATTCTGTAAAGACACCTGGATTTATTATAACTTCACTGTTAGTCTTATTTTCTGTGGTAATAATATGCGGTAACTTTCTCGTCATTATGGCTATTATATACTTCAGACAGCTCCACACTCCAACAAACCTGCTGGTCCTCTCTCTGGCTGTTTCTGACCTCCTCGTTGGAGCTGTTGTGTTGCCTTTTAGCACTGTTTTATTTGTGAATCCTTGTTGGGATACCGGATTGTGTAACATGCGTTCTACATTCGACATCATTCTCTCCATGAGTTCAATATTTAATCTTTGCTTCATTTCTGTTGACAGATATCAGGCTGTGTGTCGGCCTCTGAGCTACAAAACTTGCATTACTTTCAAGATGGTTAGAATCATGATTTTGATCACATGGATGACTGCAACATCATGTGGAATCATAATTACCATTGGAGGGAAATCACAAACAACGTCAACAGGGCAAAGATGTACTTTAATTCGAATATCAAGTTTGAATGTGTTTGGTTCGTTTACCGGCTTCTACATCCCTGCCATTATCATGTTCCCAATTTATACAAAGATTTTTCTTGTGGCTCGCAGACAGGCACTCAGCATTCAGAGCAATGTTTCTGGTGTGAGCAGAATGGAGCGAAAGGCAACCCGCACTCTGGCCATTGTGGTGGGGGTCTTTCTCATCTGCTGGGCTCCTTTCCTGATCTCCATGACCGTTGTGCCCTTTTATGATTACACAGTTTCTGATTCTGTATTTTGAGACTTTCAGATGGTTTGGATGGACAAACTCAGGGCTCAACCCGTTCATATATGCATTCTTTTACAGCTGGTTCAGATCTGCTTTCAGAATTATCCCTTTCTGGAAAAATCATTTTTGTAAATTTTACCAATGCAAGACTGTTGTAGATATATTTTAAAATGGAGAAATTGTCTCAGACTGTAAGTCCCGCAAACACGCACTGATTGAGAAATTATAAGAAAGATTATAAACAAGTGAAACCTACAGACTCAATCCTGCAGTAGAAACACTGCGGACAAACTGCTGCACAGTACTATCAGTGAGTAACTACACTGTTCTTGAAAGTAAAACAACATTTTGCTAAAAATGAGATTTCGATATTTAGAAGAATATTATGCAACGTCACATTTTTTAGAATAAAATCAAAAACCAAATATGAAGAAGTATGTGAAGCATGTCCTAAGTGGTTGTCAGTAACTTAAAAACAGCTGTATTGATGGAACACGTCTGTTATGCCTATCTTATTTTATGTGTAGCTTATGTTTTCTCGGTATAACCTTAGTGATACAGCCAGAAGTCTAAATATCCCGACAGAATGTTGGATTCCATGGCTCATTTCTTCAAAGCTAATGAATGATGATATTTTCGTGGTTGGTGAAGCCAATTATTGTAAATTACAGTAAGAGAAAATCTAACCTCTTTGCGTGTGGGCCTGTAGCATGCAATTTTGTTGTTGTTGTTGAATTTGTTTTTGTTGTGGAATAATAACTGACTAAATAAATTAAACCAGTAAACACAGCAGTTTGATAAATGTGCTTTGATTTACTCACCTCAAAGTGCACAATGTAAATGAATCTATATATATTCTGTCATTGCTATACATGATTTACAATATAGTTATTCTTGTTGATTATATTGTAACTGTGTGAGACACAGTGTCTTTTCCATTTCTTTTTTTAAACAGCTGTGAGAAGGTATTGAAGATATTGCATTACAAATAGGGTGTAGAATCTAAATATTGAGCATATTACAACATATTTGCAATCATAAACATGAAACGATGTAAAAGTACTTTTTAATAAAAAGTATGTAAAAGATAAAAAGGGCAATCACTGAGGGACAATGACATTATATTTACATTTACAAAAATAACTCTGTTAAATATATCTATACTAATAATCCCATCTTCAAATTGCACAGATTCACAGGTTACCAGCAGCTTTCAAAAAGTTATAAATGGGGAAAGGGAAAAAAGTTTAAGCAGATTAAGTAGATTGAAATAAATTATCAATAGTCTTTTCTTATGTGCATCCATCCACAAAAACAATTGGCTTCATAAGTACTTTCAAAACTCCTTTCAAAGTGCAATTATTTGTTGGGCTAAAACTACACTACACACTCGAGCATGTGATAGTGGTCAGGTGATCCGAGAATCACTATTGCTGATTTCCACAAAATCAAACACACAATGTCCATTCTACAAGAACATCACATTCATGGATAGACACACATCTTTTTCCCTGTTGGTGATGAAGGAAGTTAAATGCTTGAGTATGATTCCGTGGGCTCGTTGGTGCTGCTGCGTGAAGGCGGCGAGAGGTGATAGACATCTGAAAGACACATGCACACGTTAGACACTCGAGTTTGGTGCAAACAGAAAAAACTGTAAACTTTGACTCTTACTTCGTCTTCCAGGCAATATGCTCCTTACTTTGCTGAACAGCCCTGCACTGGTGCTCTGGAATGAAACGAATGTGATATTAGATGAGGCAAACTTTAAATGGCTGCTTTCTGTTCAGCTGTATGCATTAAACAACAAATTACATATGAATAAAGTTTGATTTTGGCCATTAAAGATGATCTAGAGAATATTTTCTTTGACAATGTTTTAGAAAATGTTCTATGGAGTAAGACATGACGAGAAAGCTCAACACGCACGCTCTCTAGTGGGAGATGTGGGAACTACACTCATTTAAACAGCTCCAACTTTGATGGTTTGATAACAGATCTAGTTAAAGGCAGATAATTTGACTGGAGAGACTTGCTTTAAGAGATTTTTGTGACATTATTCTGTGAAGTGTGATTTATAAACATAAAAAACTAACTGGTCCAAAAATAGCCATAGTGATTTAGAAAACAAACCATAATGGGTTAGAGAGATGGTTGGGCTGATTTATGTTCCTGATAATACGAATTAAACTTAGACTACTGTCCAAGAGATCTTTTTTTTCTGTAATTCAACTTTGTTTGTGGTAATTTTGATGATTGTGGCTTATAGTCCATTTTCAAAATATTCCAAAACATTCAATGTTATGATATTTGGGTTTTTAACAAGCTGTGTGCTGTAAACAATATAACAAATAAAGGATTGATATATCTCATATTATTATAGCTTCATACTGTAAGCTGAATTACAAAACTAAATGGACTTTTGAACGATACTCTGTCTTTGAGGAGGGGCCGATGTTATGACATGGCTACTATATGATTTTGGATAAGATGTGCCCTCAAGTGAGAACAAACACCTTTCCCATGCCTGCCACCACAGTTAAAATGTACTGACCACACACAGAGTACTCATTCAGTGACAATAATTCTACATTATCCAAATGTGACATGTGAGCATATGCATTTGTGAAAGCAACCAGTTGTTTCCATGTTTGCTTTTGAGTGATTCCCTGCATAGTACAGTGTGTACACAGGACTTTGTTTTTTTTATTTTTTTACTTTTTAGTGTTTAAAGCAAAGGAAGGTTTCTCACCCATCATCTATACTTCTAAGCAAGTTTTCCCGACGTTTCGTCCACAATCCAAAGGACTTCTTCAGGGAATGATTTCAGGGAATGAATTAGGGTGTGGCTAACCACACCCATAGGTTATAAATCTCCAACGCGCGGTCTGAGAATTCATTCCCTGAAGAAGTCCTTTGGATTGAGGACGAAACGTCGGGAAAACTTGCTAAGAAGTACAGATGATGGGTGAGAAACCTTCCTTTGCTTTGACTAATCCCTGTACGACTGAGGGCTTACACAAACTTTTTAGTGTTTAGTTGCTTTGGTGGTTTAGGTCAGAAAGCCAAACCTTCAGGTGGTATTGGAATGAAAGGGTGTGTCAAATGTTTTTGTGTTTCATTAACAACTCACTTTTGTCCGATTGGAGCTGGAACCTGATGATCCTGTGAGGGGTTTTCTTGCCAGGAGAGCCCGGATCTAATGGCACAATGTGTGATGAACGTTTCTGAATTTGATGTCAATACATTTGTATTTATTTAAACTTACCTTGGAGTCAAACAGTGTTCCAAAGACAAGAATAAACAAACCCTGTGGATAAACATTGATTATAGCCACTAGCCATGACAAAAACATACAGTTTAAACTTTGAAGTTATATTAGCAGGTTTAAAGTTGATTGTATTACTTTTATTTTTTAATGCACTTACCTGCAACGAATTGAAGAATGCAAATGCAATATGGACTCCTTCATTTGTCGGAGCCACCATCGTCCCCACTCCTAAAGACCAGGTCAGTCCGAACAGCGGCGTTAGAATGAGCACACATCGCACTACAACCTTGAGCGTGTGCCTCTCATCGGCCACGGACTGGTCTCCTATGCCTCCGCTCCTCAGCATTTTGTACAACACCACGAACAAAATTATGATGTTAATAAACACAATAGTTAAGGCAGGTATGACCAAAGCGAGAAGTGCCATAGTCTCATTCCAGTTCAACCAGCAAGCTTGTTCTCTTTGGATGTACCCGTTTCCCCCCGCAGTAGAAGCAACAGTGACTACGGCTATGATTAGCGGAGCTCCGTAGCCCACGCACAAACCCACGGCCAACATGGCGGACTTGGACATGTGCGAGAAGACCATGACCATGCGATAAAACAACAACAGTCCCGATACCAGCATCCAGAAGAAAAGTGCTAAGTAGAAAAAATGCATGAAAAACGTTGCGGTGCTGCACGGCCCAACTGGCACTGTGAAGTCTTCGCCGGGGTTTTCGTCAGGGTTCTTTGCGACAGAGGCAGCAATGATGAAGCAAATGTCAGCGATCAACAAGCAAAGAGCTGTGTTTACGATGGAGACGTGTCGCATAAAAGCCGTGCCGTTTCTGGTGACGGCTTTCCAGACATAACCCTCAATGATAAGGCAGATGACTAGACTTGCCAACGATATCCCGACGCCAATGTAGGTGATTATGTCCAAAGCTTCACGTATGGACTCAGGGATATGTGTGGACATAAGGATGGAGAAGGACGTAAGATGGTTGCATTGGCAAGTCACTGTGCTGTTTATGTCAGATATTAAACTACAGCCTTTGTCATCCCACGCTCCCAAGCCATCGAGAAGGCTGAAGTTCCAGAATACACACTGAGGATCGGGGGTAAACGAATCATTCTTTTTCTCGTAACTCAGTGTAACATTAGTTATCACTTGGTTAACTTTAATGAGCACCACATCTGCGTTGATGAAATTGTCCAAAACCACTGAAGCTGTGTCATTTTCAGTGGAGTTTGTTGTTGTTCCTAGTTGGCTGATGTTAAAAGATGCATCTCGTGCTGGCAAGATGTTGTCCAGGGAGGAGAATAGGATAGTCGTTATGGAGACGTTTTCATGCTGGGTGTTGGGAATGTTCAGGTGGATGCTGGAGTTGAGGTTGATGGAGAAAAAGTCTCTAAATGACGTTTTTTTCAACTGGATGCGTGGGGTGGTGATGGAAAACTCCCCCTTCAAGCCTTTGGACAGTTGCTCCAGCGAGCCAAGGAGCTGAGAGCTAGCATTGCTGCTCCTGTTGGTGTTCAGGACTTGCCATGATTTAGCCGCATTGTCTGCGCTGAGCTTGTCCACCACCTCAAGGACATTCTGCAAACAGGTGGAATGCCACACAACTTGGTTAGAATTTTTATTGAAGGTTGCAACTGTAGACTGTATAAAGGTATGGAAAAACCAACCCTCTAACTCAACAAAGCCTAATGGACAAAGTTTTTCAACTCACTTGAAAAAGAAACAGCTCTTACTTTGTAATTTATAACTATTTGTGTCACACTCACTATTTAGGGTTTATATATGTGTGGCCTTCCCAATAAATATCAGAATTATGTTTGGTCCGTGTATTTTTCGTTCAATGGTTTTTTCAAATTAAAATCAAAAATGAAATATCAAGAAAATACATAGACCTCAACCCTTGGTGAATCCACTTCTATGGATGCTAGTAAATACTAGTTAGCAATTGCTTTATTATTGTTGTCAATTGCATACTTTCGTGTTTTTAGAAAATAAAAAATAAAAACATCCATTATTTCCAGAATAATTGTAGACAGGGTTTATTTTACCCAAATGCATTTTGAAACGGCTCACCTTCATGAGCGGTTCAGTGACCGTTTCTGTGACATCAGAAACAGACACCAAAATTTCAGTGATTGCTGAAATGGTGTTTGATGACTCGGCAATGGCCTCTGTCTGTTCCTTTACAGCCTCATTCAGTTTTTCAACAAACACTTCCACTTTCACAGGATCCAGATCCTACATCCAAAAAAAAGAAACAACAATAATCTGCGAGTACTTGCGTGCTGTTGACTTTAGAGTTTGGGTTTAGATGTTTTCTTACCGTTGATTCAGTCAGCAATTCTTTGATTTCTTCCACAATACAGGTATCCTCTACTAGCGTCCATTGTCTGTTGCTCTCGCACACGGCTGTCTTGCTGCCTGTCTGACCTTTCTCACATCTGATGACCGAGGAATCTCCTTCTCTCCCCATTCCATATACGATGTCATTACACAATGGAGCTGTCAAGTTAGACAATGGTTTAAATGAGGAAATCTGACTTGTGCAATGTAATGCAATTGAATAATACTAACGTTCTGGAAAGAGAGTTAGTGTGGTTGTTTTGTTGTACTGTGTAAGACTCTCCACTTTACAAGTATAGATTTTAGTAATAGAGGTCTCACAAGCTCTCTCAATGGAATATCTTACACAGTTGGTTTCAGAAGCGACTGTAAACACAACACAGGTTAGAGTGTGTTGTAATTAAGAGTTTGGTGAAAGAAACTGATACGAATAATATATACCTGAGTTTAAAATAGTTTTACCCAAATACCATTTCACTTTGTAGGGTTCCTGCACACAGCAAGTCAGTGCCAATAATGACCCATCACATTCAGCATTAATTTCTGCATCGACTCGTATGTTTGGCGCTGGCCTGATGTCCTCGTCGGTTACTTTTCGCTTTTGGATGTACTCCAACACAGAGATTTTCAAAGTGCACTCATATAATCCTGCAACAGAGAATCAACTTGTCACAGTCTCAAAAGTACAACCATAAAGTATAAAAGGCACAACCCAAACCAGTCATAACTGGGTGAAATTGTCTGGTGTCAGATGGTTTCGTCGTCCATCGTGGTGACAATACTTTACCTACGAGCTTTTTTAATTTATGATATATCTTTTGATTTATAGATTTCCAGTTTCGATTGCCTGGCCCTACATTTCCCTTACCTGCTGCACTTTTTGATGGCCCGTTTTGGTGTTTGCTTGGTGGTCCACACATCTGCCCAAAGATGTCCTGTGAACTAGTATTTCTCCCGGAATCTCTAATTCTTTAGTATCTCCCGTCAAGGTTTCAAGTCAAACATTTGTGGCTTTTCTTCCTCACATCATCATTTACAATTGTATGTAGATACAGTATATATAACATTTACTCACCAATGTCTGCAAGGATCACTTGGCTGACAGTGAGAGTCGATTGAAGACCGATGGTGTTGATGACGTGTCGTGGACGATTATTTAAAATCCCATCATTAAACTTCCACTGAACACTGCTGAGCTCACCCAGGTTAACGTCTGGCGGTCCGCATTGCAACTTCATGCTAGTTCCAGTGTAGGTGGGTTTTGGAATAAAGAGCAAGTCGGATGCTGTGTGAGAGAAAACATCATTATCCGTGTTTTACAGGTTTACAGTCTAGGTTAGATTTGTTTTTCCTCCTGACCAGTGATAGATGCAGTGACTGAGCCGATTACTGAGGCCACCTCCTTCATTGCTTGAGGAATCTGAGCGTTGACTTTAGAAATTTCCTCCGTTTTAATCTCAGATGCTTCTACAGTGTACTGGGTGATGATACTGCCGCGACTGTCACATTGAAAAGAGGATAAGGAAAGTCATTAACATATTTTTCAGCAGATAAGAAAGGAGAATATCTGCAGTAAAAAACCTAATCCTCTCATGCTTAGATTGATGCAAAAACCACATGTGTCAAAACTGCCCACTTATTTACCCAAACAATAAAATAAATAGATTTACATTTTTCTCACAATTACCTTTGACAATATACAGTACACAGTCCTTCAATCACCGTGACCTATCCTTTGTAAAACACATCCAGACTAGACTAGAATAGGATTGAGAGTAGATTTTTCCTCACATTGTCTACACTATGTTAATGCATTGCTAAATTGACACAAAATAGGCATGCATAGGCACCATTTGTCTTTGTTTCTTTAATTTGCAAAAGCATGTAACAATTAAGTCCAAGTGAAATTCAAACTACTCTACAAACATATTGTTTTACCTGAATCCATTTATATTTACACCGATGAACCCTGAAAGGCTTTTGTACTGCCCAAATAGCTATTGGAAGATAAAACATTGAGATGTAAAAACATATTTTAATGTAGATCAAATACAAGAATCAATGAACAGAGTCTTACCACTTTCAAAACTTCATTCTTGAGTTTTTTGAAGGCTTCACTTGAAGGATTATCCAGTTCGGGCTCATATGGCTTGTCTAATCTTAGCGACATTTCCACCTTCACTCCTGCAATAACAGTTTATTTTGTTAAGTCTTATAGCCAAAACAATTTCCAAGTGCTAACTTTTGTTTGTTACTTACGTGGCAATAAAAATGATTCTGATTCTGATTCTGATTATGTCAGAATAGTAAATTTGGATTACCTTCTTTATAAATGTTACTGCTTTATATGGAAAGTCACACAATATGTTTTGGGTATAAGATGAGATAAGATTAGAGAATTTGTCAAACAGTGAGGGTAAGAGCAGGAACGAAGACCATACAACATGTACAGATAAAAGAGTTTTTAATTTTCATGATTATGAAAATTGTAGATTCACACTGAAGGCATCAAAACTATGAATTAACTCATGTGGAATTATGCGATCACAAAAAAAAAGTATGAAACAACTAAAAAAAAAAGTCCTATGTTCTCTGTTCTTCAAAGTAGCAGCTTTTGCTCTGACTACTGCGTCGCACACTCTTGGCATTCTCTTGATGAGCTTCAAGAGGCAGTGACCTGAAATGGTCTTCAAACAGTCTTGAAGGAGTTCCCAGATATGCCTGGCACTTGTTGGCCCTTTTGCCTTCACTCTGTGGTCCAGCTCACCCCAAAACCATCTGGATTGGGTTCAGGTCCGGTGACTGTGGAGGCCAGGTCATTTGACCCAGCACCCATGAGAAAGTGTGTCCACACTTTTGGTCTGTACTGTATATTATTGTCTTTTAATATTTATACTAGGGCTGTCAAACAATAACAACATTTTTGTTGATTAATCGCACAGAAATGGTGAGTTAACTCACGATTAATTGCATTTTTAACATTCTATTTCAAATCCACTCCAATTGAAGTTAAATGAGATTATCAAATGTAATGACACATTGTCATTCATACCAAATGTACTTAAACTTAAATCTTTTCAACTCACCCTCAAATCCACTTTTTTTTGCTGATAAACGATATAAATGAGTGTCCAATAGTGTTGTCTACATATCCTGGTCATAATTTTGTCACTTTGGTGCAAATTAGTTGAAAGTTAAACTTTCTGCCTAAAACCGTCTGTGAGGCGCCATCTGCTGGCGACCTGTATTACTACATTTGAATTTTGAATCTGGCGCCAACACTGGCGCGGCAGCAAGACCTGACGTCTGAAGCAAGACCTGACGTCAGCAGCCCCCCGCCCAGAGCAATGTAAACGGCGCAGTCTCGTTCACGCCCCCTTCAGTCCTCCAGGCTACGCCCATTTAGAGGAAGATTTGAACAGGAAATGTGAGTGACGTAAGCTCCGAGGAGCGGGGGTGAGAACCACTTTAATGAAAGGGGGAAATTTACGTACCCCAGCTTTAATTCAGCGTTTCAGTTTAGTTTAGTTTCAGGAGGAGACAGGGACACTTTAGCGGTGTATTTGCGTGCACAGGTTACGCACAGGTTGCAAAGACACGAACACAGCATGCATACAATAGTTCTGTGGCGTGTATGGTCTTATATGACCATGTTACCGCGGCGCCACTCACTCACAGCCGGTTAGTCGTGTTGTTGTTAGCGGATCACAGCCAGAGCGGCCGCGGAGGAGGCGGACTTCAGTTCACAGCAAACAACAGCCCCGCGGTGACGCGCGTATTCTTTTAAAACTTGAGTTCCCAGAAGGCCTACCTGCTCTGATGCCATCTCACACGCAGCATTCTGAGTGATATTATGGATAAATGGGCAGGTCATTCGGACATGCGTTAATGCGTTATTTTATTTTTTTACGCGTTAATGAAAAATGTAATTAACGTGAGTTAACGCGATAATTTTGACAGCCCTAATTTATACACAATATCGAACCAGCATTTTAGTCTTCAATTGACAATTGTTAATTTCAGAACTATGCCAAAAAAAGAAAGAAAACCATACAGTTGCCACATGCGTTTTAATTTTAACATACTGTAAAACTCAATTGGAAGATTTCAAAATGTTTAAATAGGCTGTTTCAGTTTAAAAAAAAAACTTTACATGGACTTTCTCTGCCATCCTTAAATTAATTTATTGCATTTCAATCAAAAAGCACAAGAGTGACCAGAGCGTGGACATGGTGCAGTTCCCATGAGACAACAGTTGCTGTCTATGAGGCTAAAGCGTCCCAGACTGTCAGACTTGAAACACCTTCAAACCAATCTCAAATTTGGCTCGAGAGCAATCAGGTCTGTGGACACATGGATTGCCATGTGTTGTTTTTCTTTTTTTTGTCCGTAAAATAGTTTGTTATTGTTTTATGTTCTGTATCTTTCTTGTTCTTATCGTGCCAGTAACTACGAGTAGAAAATAAACAATCGCCTCAATTAAATTCATTCTTCTATAACCCTAAATTACAAAACAATTTATCACGGAGGACTTGACTTGACCGTTGAACTCACCAACACAGATCATAAACATGAAATGCATTGATGAAAAATATGGCACTTTTAGTGTACGTGCATTGTTGAACACTCCTTACCTGTTGGTGGGGTAGTGGTGGTAGTCATAGGAATTACTTCTTGTGTTGTAGGAATAGTAGTAGCAACCGTTCTCGGAGTTGCAGTAGTAGTAGTAGTAGTAGTAGTAGTAGTAGTAGTAGTAGTAGTAGTAATTAGAGTAGAAGGTTGGGTGGTAATAAAACTAGTAGTAAGAGTTGTAGGTGAGGTGGTAGTAGTAGTATTACTATTTGGAGGTAAGGAAGTAATTGTAGTGGTGATTATAGGTATGTTAGTGACTGCACCTGTTGTAGTACTCAGCGCAGTACTGATTGTGACATTGGGGCTGAAAGTTGTATTGTTGGTAGTAATAGTAGTGGGAGAAAGCGATGTAATAGTTGTACTGTGAGTTGTGGTTGAGGTATTTGGGGCAGCAGTAGTATTTGGAAAAGTAACTGTAGTGGGGGGAGCAGTGGTTGTAGTATTTGGAAAAGTAACTGTAGTATTTGGAGCAGTTGCTGTAGTATTTGGAAAAGTAACTGTAGTATTGGGAGCAGCAGTTGTAGTATTTGGATAAGTAAATGTAGTATTGGGAGCAGTAGTTGTAGTATTTGGAGAAGTAAATGTAGTATTGGGAGCAGCAGTTGTAGTATTTGGAGAAGTAAATGTAGTATTGGGAGCAGTAGTTGTAGTATTTGGAGAAGTAAATGTAGTATTGGGAGCTGTAGTTGTAGTATTTGGAGAAGTAAATGTAGTATTGGGAGCTGTAGTTGTGGTATTTGGAGAAGTAAATGTAGTATTGGGAGCAGTAGTTGTAGTATTTGGAGAAGTAAATGTAGTATTGGGAGCTGTAGTTGTGGTATTTGGAGAAGTAAATGTAGTATTGGGAGCTGTAGTTGTAGTATTTGGAGAAGTAAATGTAGTATTGGGAGCTGTAGTTGTGGTATTTGGAGAAGTAAATGTAGTATTGGGAGCTGTAGTTGTAGTATTAGCTGCAGTAGTTGTAGTATTTTGAGAGGTGAAAGTGGTACTGGCTGCAGTACTCAGTGGCTCAGTACTGTTAACAGTAGTGTTTGTCGTTGGCGAGGTCACTGTGAAGAGAAAACACAATCGTGTTTATCACCAGATTATCACTGTACAACTTGGTTCTTGGTTTATGGAAATAGCTCCAACAACACTTCACACCAGGGGTCTCAAACCTGCGGCCCGAGGGCCATTCACAGCCTGCAAAAAAGTTTAATGTCAGTGCCACTAATATGGCAGGTTATACATAATTTTAAAGATAATTTTAGCAAGTAAATACCCACCTGATTAACCATAACATAAACTTTGAATCCTTAACTTTAAAAGTAAGAATTAAAAGTAAACATTATCAAGCCCATCGTTTAATGATACAAAGCCTCATGGCCTTTGGTCCAGTTTTGTTTCAATCCAAGCAGCTGAACTAATTTTGTTCATAAAGATTACTTATTGGGCCGAGCCCCGAACGGGGTAAGGGCCTATTGCTTTCACAATGGTGAATGCAAGTGGTGGCGGTACGGGACGGACGTGTCAGCGCCCGTCACTTAATGTACCCCGACGTGACGGTTGCGTGCGTAAACTCAAACGCTTTAAAATGATGTATCATGTGCCATTGAAACCTATATTGTTTTTGCTCAGAGTCGTTCTAAAAATTATTCTGCACTTTGAACCTTAATTTGACCCCATGGACATCCATGAAAACTTGCAAATTTTGCCCGTAAGTCAAAAACGGCAAAAGATGTACTTTATTTTTATGGGACAAAAAAAAGGCCAGAACCCAGCGCACCCTACAAAAATCAGTTTACATTGCACCTTAGGGAGGAGGAAGTCCGAGGTCAAGTTTGTCATAGAGCCACAAAATTCGGTACACATGTTCCTCAAGTCAAGACATGAAAAAAAAGTTATTATGGCCACGCCCCCTGACAAACAGGAAGCTCTAACATTTCCTTGCAAAATGGAAAAATGCAAAGTGATGTTTTTCAAACATGTCGGTTGGAAATCATCTCCTCCTCGGCCGTTTCACTGATTTGCATCAAAATTGCTCCACATTGTGTAAAGAGATGTACCATCATATTGACTTCACAGAATTGTTATCAGTAACACTTTGTTTGAGCAACGGAGCGGCAGAATTTGCACATACCAAGTCCGATTTGAACAAAATTTTAATTCACTGTTCCACTCAAGGGTCTATGTCATTTGAAAGTTAAATAATTCATATTGGCCCATTAGCGCCCCCTACAGACTATGTCAAAGTTTTAGATGGGGTTAATCACATTTAGATTTTTGAAAGTGTTTGAAATTTTGCACATAATTCTGTTTTGCCCTCTTGATTCAAAAAGTCAATGACACCCAAGACTTACATTATACTATACCCTCGTCAAACACTTCCCATTCTGTGTCAAAGGCAAATGTATACCTCGCACAAACATCCAACCAGCCTCAGCCGTTTCACCGATTTGGCTGAAAATTGCTCCACATCATCTCAACACATGTACAATCAATAGTTGTTCATAAAATTTTGATTAGTCACATGGTCATCCAAAAGTATATATTTGGACAAACTAACAGATTAAACATGTGCTCCTGTTTACACATACAAAGTCTGATTTGTACTAAACTTGACTCGGGTTTTTAATTCTTGGGCTTTAATTCGCGCCCCCTACATGTGGAGCCAAATCAACTGATCATATTCATTACAACTTCACAAACAATGTTCTATGGCTACGGGAGCAAATAATGAAACATTAAATATTTATATCTCCACTCATACTATAACTCACAAACATTATTTGCTAAATATTTATTTTATTAAATGAAAATTAATGAGCTATAAAGATATATTATATTTAAATGTAAAGGAATTTTGTCTGTTTGAAAGAAAAGGGCAAAGTAAAAAAAACATAATTTAGTTCTTTAGTTGTATTTTTGCATGTGCACAATGGATTAGTTTGCTCCTACTTACATGAATCAGGTTAAAATAAGTGACATAAAAATTCAAGTTACCTGGGGTAGGAGTTGAAGATGTTTTGCAGGCAGTGAATTCTTAATAAACACACAAAAAAAACAATTACTACAATTATGTTTTTTTTTTTCATTGATTCATGGGACACTAAAGAACTCACTGCTGTCAAGAGGCTGGCAATACTGTCCATCAGGGGTATATATATATATATATATATTTTTTTTTTTACTACAAACTGCGTTTCTGTGCCTCTCGAGACTGAAGGGGACAGATTGCTCTCTAGTTAAAGCTTGAAGGAATCAGTGAAAAAACTGAATATATCCATAAAATGGTATCAAAATATTTCAAACGATACATTGCATTATATGGCTTCTCCACCGTTATGAATATATTTGTTATTTGATACAAGGGATGGTCTTGTGAGATGAATACTTCTACCAGATCACATGCAAAGTATGATCTTGTGCTTAAAATTTGGCTTGGCACAACATCTGTAAACCCTGGAGGGTTGCATATTTTGAGTTCCTGTAAGGGACTCAGGGTAACTAGGTTTATTGTGTGGTCAAAATTGTTTTCAATAATATCCATCTGGTCAATGGCAAAGCCATACGAAGTCAGTAGTACCATTTCTCTACTCCATAAAGTTCCAAAATTGCAATATGATATATATATATATATTTTTTTTTTTTCTTTTGAACAAAACAAATAAAAATAAAAATCTTGATTTGTTTTCTGCATCTTTTTAAAGTCTTCATTATGATGTGACACTGTACTATTCATGGATCTATTGGTACTATTATATAGTGTTTTTTTCAACATTACTGTCTGTAGGTAAAATCCCTCTCCTTGATAGAACTACCATCAACGTCTGCTGGTGGAGAATACTTAAACCAATGACCAGGGGCCTCAAGGATTTGAATTCGTTTCAACCAATCAGGAGGCTGCAGGAATGGGCAGGTCTAACCAGTCTTCACAAAGTTTCCCTCTTCATAATTCTCAAGTAACTGACATCCCCTTTAAATATTTGCTAATGTGGATTTTAATTTAGGTCCTGTTTTTTATATAATTTAGTCTGTTTCAGTCGCCCTTATGTTCCTGTCAACCTTCTGATTGTTGCGACAGCCTGATGAACCCTCCACAGGCAGTGAGGCGAATGAACTAAATACGGTTTATTGTCCCGCAGGCGTTCTGTCATCGCGAGTTCTTTAAACCGGCTGAACGAGGACACTAAAGAGTAAGTAATTAATGTTAATCTAACAAAAATGTGACCTTATTATGATTTATTCTGGACACTGCATGTTTCACTCTGCAGGCAACATGAAGGCTGTCATCCTTAAATGTTAGAATATATAACTCCAAACTAACGTCCTTAATTAAATGCCGGATGTGGTTTAAAGGCGTCTTTTCCGCAGGCGACTCGTACTCATGAGGTGCATGTGCTGTGAACCAAGCAAGCCCGACACAGCCTTCAGTCATTCCCAAAGCTCTGCAGATGATAAGAGCGTTCTGTTTATGAAGTCCCACAAAGCATGTGTTCTGTTTGTTTTTTTCCCCCCTGAAATTGCACTTGTAAATCACTCCAGCACAGCAATTTTATGATTCTAACTTCACCTTAAATGTCACTTATGTATTTTACCACAAAGTATATTTCTTCAGTTATACCTTCTTTATCAATGGCAAAATTGCTTATTATGCCGTCAACAGTGGCGTTCCTAGAATTTTCGAGGCCCTTGGCAAATGAGGCCCCTCAACGCTTTGTGCCTTTGTGCCTTTTTTTTGTGTGTGACTACATTCCAATCGGATAAAGTAAAAAATGGCATTGAGCCTAGTCCATAGTTATTATTGCTATAGCCGGGTTAGGAGAAAAAAAATTGGTCCTGGAGTCAAACTTTAGGACACATAGATATGAAGCAAGAGAGTAATTAGAAAAAGGATACAACATAATAGATTAGGATTGGACTGAATGATGCTACTGTGGGTTTTCTCTTGGGCACTGTTTGAGACACGCATAATGCCGTCATTGAGTAAAATGAAAAATGCTTGTATTTGGTGGATGATGTGAACTCATGAAGCCATGTGGTCAAAGGTA